ATGTCTTTTAAAGGTTGTGTACTTGTGGCCAATAACCTTGTTTCCTCTGCCCTGTGGCACAGACTGACCTGTATCGACCCTCCGTCCTCTCTCCTGTGTAACATTCAGAGAGTGTTAGTTGATTTCTTTTGGACAGGTTACACTGGATTCCTCAGAGTGTGCTCTTCCCCTAAGAGGAAGGAGGACATGGACTAGTTCACCTGGCCAGCAGGGGGCTACTCTCCGCCTGCAGTTCCTCCAGAGACTACTCACTGGGCCTGCAGACCTGGTCTGGAGACCGCTGGCCTGCTGTCTTCTACAGCGGTTTGGAGAACTGGGGCTGAGCTCGTCTCTGTTTTTAATGATTTACAGCAAGTGAACATTTCCTCTGTCACTGGATTTTATCAAAGTGTTTTAACGTGTGGAGTCTGGTGAACAGGCAGAGACAGGGACACTCCCACTCTTTGTACTGGCTGCTTAAAGAGCCTGTACTGTTTGGAGTCGTTTTCATCTTCCTGACTGACTGGACCGAGCCTGTCCGGAAAGTTCTGCAGTGCCAGGATTTCCACTCTGAGCAGGTGGTGGGAGCTGACGGGACCTCAGCTGGACTGTCCTGCTGGTCTGGCTGCTGGTCTGGGGGTGAGGTCGACAAGAGTTGTTGATCAGTTGCTGAAGCACTGGAGACATCAGCTGACAGGACAAGAGATGTCTCTGATGTCGGACTATGGGACGGCTTCTCTGCTGCCCGACCAAACTGACCCGTTTCCTGAGTTCAGTCTGTCTGCAGACCTGAAGGACTGTTCTGGTCCTCTACTGGCCAACGCTGCAGGAAAGACTCTTTACAAACTGATTGTTAAGACTGTGAATAAAAAGACACTGAACGCACGCAGTGACCCCCCTGGAGGACTTATTTGGGCTAGCTCTGAGTTTAGACCCTCCTGGGAGTCTTTGTAACCCCCTTGTGTAAGAGACATGCAGACCTCCAGTGGAGAATCCTGCATGGAATCATTGCTGTGAACTCTTTATCTCTGTTCTTAATGTGAATGTTGTTGATCAGTGTCCTTTCTGTGTGCACAGGGAGACGGTGTTTCACTGTTTTTTACAGTGCAGTCGGCTGAAACCTCTGTTTGACCTTCTGGAGAAGGTTTTTAGTGGTTTTAAAGAGTTTTTTACTAAGCAGGTTTTTATTTGTGGTTTTAAATACACTCGACAACACAAACACAAATGTCAGCTGATAAACTTTGTCCTTGGTCAGGCTAAGATGGCCGTGTACGTGAGTAGGAGGAGGAAGGTGGAGGAGCCAGACGATGTTGTTGATGTGAAGCTGTTGTTTGTAAAAATGTTAAAATCCAGGGTGTCTTTGGACTTCAGCTTCTACAGAGCAAATCAGGATCTGGAGACTTTCCAGTCAGTGTGGACTCATGACAGTGTGCTGTGCTCTGTAGAGCACGATCAGTTAGTTCATGGACATGTGCTGATGGAACATCTGTTTATTTTGTGAATGTCATCTGTGAATTTTAGGAATGTATATTATTGTTGAACAGTAAGAAGACTGAAAAATAAAGGTCTGTTTAAAAATCAATCAATCTCTCTCTCTCTCTCTCTCTCTCTCTCTCTCTCTCTGTCTCTCTCTCTCTCTCTCTGTCTCTCTCTCTCTCTCTCTCCCTCTCCCTCTGTCTCACCACAGTCAGAGCAGGTCATCATGAGGAGCAGTAGGATCCTGTACATCATCTTCTTCGTGTGAGAGGACACAGAGCTGAAGAGACACAAACACATGACTGTCTGCAGTACAACCACAAACAGGAAACATGCTTACTGCTTCAACTTCACCGTCACTAAGAGGAAAGTTTTGCAGGCAGGTGAAAGCAAGAAAAACAATAAACACAGGCACATAGACTCAGACATTAAATCATACTCATTAAGTGTTCATCAGCTCACAACTCAGAAGTTTCCGACACCACCTGAATGCAGCTTCCGTAGTTACCCTCCCAGTCATCATCCACCAGAACACAACAGAACTCACACAGGACAACATTTATTTTTTGTGTCACATGACTGCAGCATCATTAGCCCCTCCCACTTCCTGTACAGTACACACACTCTCCACATGTCAGATGAGTTAAAGTCTAGTCGGTGTTGTGAGTTCCAAACAGACGAACTGTCCACTGTGTTGGTGATGTTTGACCCGGATCTCTGCTGGCTCTTCTTCGACCCTGTAAGTACCTCCATCATCCTCTTTTCAACCACGCTGATTGTATCGCGTTAGTTCATCCACGGGGTGACGTCACAACACAACAACTCACAGACAGCCTCTCCAGAGACTCACAGTTTGTCTTTTTATTCTCTTTGTTGAATCACTGAAGTTTAAATGCTGAAAAACCTCCTGGGTTTGATTCTGAAATGAAACGGGGGGTGTAACGGTGAAAACAGTTACCGTGTTATCTGTTGACTGTCCGCTGAGGATGATGTAACTTTACAACAGACAACTGTCCTGACGACGACTCTTTGTCAAGTTTTTTTTTTTAGTTATAATAAAGTAAAAGATGCTCATCAGACGACTCTTTGTCGAATTTAAAAAACAAAGTGGCTTTAATCAGGAGATTTGACGTTTTTTGTGTTTTTACGTCTGACGCATTTTTTACACCGTACAGAAAGTAAAGTTGAATTTAGACTGTTTGTTCATGCTTCTTTAAACATTTGGAGATATTATTTGAGTCTTTGTTTGGAAGGGGAAAGTGTGTAATAAGGAGAAGCTGATGTTTGTTTGGGTCCCTTCTGGTCATGCGCACTGATGTTTTTTTTAAACCGTTATTATTCCAGCTGATTAAAGCAGGACGGGTTGGAAACAGGTGGCGCTGTGTCACAATTTATGATGTTATAAATTCCTGAGCACCAACAAGTCTGATAACAGGTCATATCGTCTCATCGAAATGAACCAATAGGAGCCCTCGCTGACGCGGATGGGGGGGGGGTTACTTTTTCCAAAGAAAAATACTTATTTTTTCTCTGTCAGCGATAAATTGACAAACTGGTTTCTACAGCAATACCAATTTCACAACAAACAAAGACAACAAACGAACCACCTGTTGGCGCATGCGCAGGTGAAGGGGATGCGGGACAAATGTTTGTTGATGATCCTGAAAGAAAAGTGATAAATGACCTTCTTCTCTTCTTTATCCCTGTGTCGGCTCTCTCCTTCTATTAAGGTGAAATAAATGTTAACTTCACCCCCATAAAACACATGACCTGCTTCATTATTATCATTACTAGCATATTATCATTATTATTATTATTATTATTATTATTATTATTATCATTAATAACATTGTATTATTAATATTATTATTATTATTATTATTATTATTATTACTAACATTGTATTATTATTATTATTATTAATATTATTATTATTACTAACATTGTATTATTATTATTATTATTATTACTAACATTGTATTATTATTATTATTATTATTATCATTACTAACATTTTTTATTATTATTATTATCATTACTAACATTGTATTATTATTATTATTATTTAGCATCATATATATATATATACATATATACTGTACATTATATAACATTTTATTATAGTACACTATATTATATTATATTATATTATATAACTGCACTCTGCATTACTGTGGTACAACACTGCCTCTCTTCTCTGCTCTTTACGATCACTTTAATCACTTGTCACTTTATCTTTTCATTCTCTGTAAATACTGTCTCAATTCCCTGCATAGTTAACTTCATCATTCATTTTGTACTTGTATATACCCCCTGTTTTTATTTGTATGTATCTTATCTATTCTGTTTAATGTGTATTTTGTATTTTGAGCTTTCTTGTCTGTGCTGCTGCAATGCCTGAATTTCCCCTCTGGGGGTCAATAAAGTATTATCTATCCTATGTCTGCAGATGTTGAATCCTGATTGGTGGTCTTTGTTGTTCTGACTCTCTCTCTTTGTTCCGTCCTCTGTCCGTCTGAGAGAAAGTGAAAACATAACTCCAGCTGTGTTTCCTCTCCAGCTCCGAGTCCTGACTGATGAAATGCTCCTCATGAGCCGCCGCCCGCCAACCAGACGTCAGACACGCAACGCTCTCAAACGCATGGACAGGTTGGCTTTTGGTTTTTCTTCAAGTTTTAAATGTTTAACGTTCTGAGTTTCAGTAACTCAGCGGACGTTGTCAACAGACCGTTGTCATAGAGACAAGACGTTTCGCGCAGCGCTTCGTGCTAACGCTCCCGAGCGCACAGTCTGCGCTTTTTCAGCCCCGGCAAACACCAGGTGGACACGTGGCCTTACACACACCTGTTAGCTAAATGTTGAAGAAGACGACTCTTTGAGTTCACTCTCTGGACGTTCTGAAGGTTCGATGTGTCGGATCAGTTCAAAGTCCTGAACTCGGCTGGACTAACACATGGTGGTTATTTTTTGTGTTTCACAGCAGACGGAGAGGTTTCCTCGGCTGACACAGATCGAGTGTGACCAATCGGGGGAGCTCAGAGACGCTCGCAGAGAGCTACATCCTCCTGAAGCCTCGACCATCCAGGTAAAATAAATCTCCATCAGCTGCTCCCCGACTGCTCCCATGATTTCCTGACATGTTTGACTCTTTGGCCGAAACGATTTCACCTGCACAAACTGACTGACAGTGTCCTCGATCGCCATGGCAACAGCAGGCATTCCTGTTGAATCTGTCTTTCCCCCCTACCGATCATGAAAGAAGCTGTGGCAGAAATATCTCAGACTCTGATGGATTAAAAACCTCTCAACACTGTAAACATGGATGTGAAATCTCCGACCTCCTCCGTCAGAGTTTGACGCTTCCTGAACCGGAGCGTGATGTAGACGGGCGGCGTCTTCCTGCTTTCTCACAACATAACTACCAAAACAGTGCATTGTTTTTCTAATGAGGCATCCCTTCCTAGTGTAGTTTAACTCACGCGCTCTCTTTGTCTGTTTTTCCTGAACAGAGCCAAGAGGAATAGAAACCGTTGGGACTCCACAGCGGCCCTACGGGGGGGAATCAATATGTACGTATAAACACCTCTACACACTAAATGAACCTCCAGAAGCCAATCAGGCGTCTCTGCTCGTCAACATAGTGGGAGAGTAAACGTTCTGTGATTTTGTGTTGACTTTGACCTGACGTGACTCTCAGCTCTGTGTCCTCTCACAGGGAGAAGATGATCCTGCTGCTCCTCACGCTGACCTGCTGCGTCTGTGGTTAGTGTTCATCACTTTATGTATATTTGACCGGGACCGTCCCGTTTTCAAGCTCAGTGTCCCGAGTCCCCACAAATATCTATAAAACAATAACATGTCCCGGTTTGGAACAACCAAAACAACACACCATGCATCAGCTCCTCTTCTCTCCCTGCAGGAACATTTGAAACGTCCTACGAGGCGGAGGAGAATGAGGACGTCACACTGGAGTGGACGTTCACCACCAAAGCCACTCTAAACATCGACTGTGCCAAGGTCACCAATCAGAAACACTGGGTCCTCTTTCGTCTCGCTGACGGAGTCCAGGTCCCGGAGTCTCAGGATGCACAGTTTGCAGGACGAGTCCACTTTGACAAAGACGTCCTCGGAGAAGGACGACTCAGACTGAACGTGACCTCACTCAGGATTGAAGACTCGGGCAATTATTTGTGCGAGTATGGCGAGGTCCCCGACGTCCGCAGACTCACAGTGAGAGGTGATTAAACTCATTATTAAGTATTGTGAGCATCATCTGTTCTGTTTTCTTCTCATGAGTAACTGATGTGTTCGTCTCATCACAGCAGCGAGACACTCTGAGACTGAACCTGAGAGACGGAGCACAGAGGGCAGGGGATGGAAGGATTTCATCAGTAATCTGGGGATGATCTCTGGACTCTTTGCGTTGCTGTTTGCTTTCTGTCTTAACATCTATACCTTTCAGCGCTCCATCTGACAGATCTGACCTCCACACTCTGTCTTTTCTGTTTGTAAGTGTCTTCACCAGCTTTAAGCCACTCTTAATACCTACTTCCAGCCAAAGACAGTCTTTTCTTGTCGTCTTTAAAAGTCTGCTGCTCTTCCTTCAGTTGGGATCTTTACCACAACTCTCCGTTCTGTTGCCACCAGGCACAGCGCCCCCCATGAGTGGGCGAGGCCATCTCTCTTCCCCAACATGGGGGGGGCAGGGCTAACGACAGGGTTCAACAGTGTGGTTCTAGAAGTAAAAATCCCGTTCATTTTCCCCATATCTGATTTGATTATCAGCCGTGATGTCATAACCATTCCAGGTAGACTGACCACGAGCTACCTGAGCGTGAAACGATTCGTCTGATATCAACCTTTAAGAACAACTTGGTTTATTCACGATATCGAGGAAAAGAACTACACTACCCATAATCACAGAGTGTCACGGCTACGGCTTGGTGGAGCTCGCCGTTACCATGGCCATATTTCCCGCTTCTCGGTGCCGAATGCGAACGGATAGATTCGCTAGCTAGCTACTTAGCTAACACAAATTACTGCTAACCTTGTTATTCCGCAGTGAATGTAGTTACTCGTACGAAACCTGCTGAGCCTCTGAACAAGCTGAAGGAGGCGCCGTCCCGTCAGTGTGAACACAGAGCCGAGAAGAACATACCCAGTAGGAGTTTGACTTCACTCTCTTTTTAGGGTATCATAGGGTATATTTGATATTTTTCTATTGTAATAATCAGAGTGTCACATTTCTTTAAATGCTACTGATCGCCATGGCAACACTGGCGTTGCTTTATTGCTTTACGGCATCACTGAACTTTATCTCCTCTGAAATCTGCACTTTGTCTTCTCTGTACATCAAGTACCCCAAATGACTGTTTTTTCTTTTGCACGTTCTGCGCTTTAACAGTTACACTTCGAGCCACTTTAGAACAAATGAATGTGATTTTAAAATGTTTTATTCAGAATATTTTCAGCCCCCACAGTGAACCTGGTCCTGACTCCCAATTTCCACATACTCAAAGAATATATTGACCCACACAGGACACGTTAACTAGTGCAGCTCACGTCACCTGTTCATCTTGGAATAAGAGCTGTTTACAGGTCCTGGACTTTGTTTTGTCGCAGCCCACAGAGGATCTTAGCTTATCCTCTAGTGACCAATCAAGGCACTGCACTCTTTATCCATTTATTCATATTTTGTTGTGTTTTTTTTCCTCATCTGTTTTTTTTTTCTTTTACGTGTTGAAGGCAAGTTCATCTGGACATTTCAGAAGTTAAAGTTTAATATGAAGCCCTAAAATGAAGAAAGTCAGACTCATTAAATGCCATGAGATTTATTTAACCCTTTGTTTGGCATTAATATATTTTATCTCTTATTTATAGTTTAAGGCATTATTTTATCTTGTGAAAAATTTCATGTTGAGCATTACCAGATCCGTCCTGTAGCTTTCTGTTGGATTAATACATTAAATATTATTCTTATATCTATCTCATCATCATGTAACCTTATTTTATAATAATAAAAAAAACATTTAAAAAAAATAATATTTGTGCCGAACATGTCTTTATTCTCCCACAACACGAACTCTGAATCGTCCAACAAAGGCGGTTTTGTTATCACGCTGTAGAAAACATTTTAAACCAAAGATCAAAGTGAGAGAGTTTTATCCAATCAGAAGAGAGATGGAGAGCAGGAGGTTTTGTTTCTGAGATCATTCAAAAAGTAAACAAATATAAAGATACTAGTTTAACCCAAGCGGCAACCTATGAAGCCTATGCTGAAGTGTTAAAATCCTGCAGTTCCTGGAGTGTCCACTAGAGGCTGGCTGCAGAAGCACAGGAAGTCACATACACACCCATTCTTAAAAGCCTGTTTTTACAGCAGAGATTAACATGTTTACAGCCTGGTTCAAAAAAACAAATAGGTGTGATTAGCTCATGTCTCGATGGACACACACTGTACGGGGGGTGAATGTTTTGATGATTCATCAGTTTTGATTTGATGAAGGATAAGAGTTATTCACAATAAGGCGTGTAGCTGACCTGATTGACAGGTGGGCGCGGTGTAACGGTTTGTCAGGAGGTTTAAAACCCGCCTCAGCTCCAGCTCTCAGCCTGTCGTTAGGTTGACTGAAAGTTAGACTGAGACAGCATTTCCAGCATGGAGACCGCCATCGATGGGACTCCAGCGCCCCCTCAGTGTTTACTTTTACACTACTAGACGACCACAAGAGTTGATCACAGAGAATCGAGACTTCCCACACATTTGACGACACAATCGCAGCGTAAAGTTTGACACTGAACAGCTGCTATCAGGTTACCTTTAAATCCTGTGTGACTAGAGGAGCTGTTTCCTTATTTGACTTGAAAGTGAAAGTCTAAAAGTGCTTCATCATTCTGACTTTCATATCAAAAACAAAGATTTGTAATGTGTAATCTCTTTTATTGGTCTGTGTTAATCAAAGCATTACATGATAAAGTAACACTACGTTAATAATGTATAAAAACTGCATTTTCATCCATGTTTGTTTCCTTTTGCATTTTTTTTTTCAAGACAGAAGGCCTAGATTATTTACAAAACATTTATTTACTGCAAATTATAAACACACTGATCGTATAAAGCAACCACATTCTGATATTTTACATGGAGACATTCATTCTACAAATATCGTTCATGATGCAGAGAATGTATTTTCAGTATGTGTGCCTCTCTGGTGTCACGCTGACTCATAAAACAAAGTGCAGAAAAACAAAAATATGTCATTAAAGGTCCAATCTGTCAGATATCTACAGAATGAGATGATAAAGTGACCTTACTATATGATCAGACATTAAGAAAACATGCTGTGTTAGATTCTGGTCCTGAATGCTCTGGATTTGTTTGGACCAGAGAAGGTAGGCGGTTTCAAGGTGAACCCCACACGGCCATTTGGACGCACCTCGTCAACAATCCAACGAATGAAGAGGGCGAGAAACTGGTTCATATATAACTGATTCTACCCAACCTACTGTAGATAAAACTAGCGCTCTAGTTTTGAAATAAAAAATGTTTTTTGTAAATAGGCAGTAGATTTATTAGCTTACTATAAACATATTGTGTGTAGGGCTAGCTTCTTGCTTTAGCAGCATACATCTTAAGCAATTTAGGCTTCAGAAGATGTATATTAGCTTGTTTAAAACACATTTTTTGTTTGAGAAAGAGTGATTAAAAGGGATTACCGCTAGCTGCTAGCTTTAACAGCGTAAAGCTAAAGCTTAAGCTAAAAAAAATTGTCGTTGGGCTTGCTAGTTTGTACAACAAAATTAGGAGAGTAACTGTGGCTCTCTGGTTGTGCATTAAAAGATTACTTGGTGGACACACCAGATAATTACACTTCAGGGGGCAGGTTCTCATTAGCTTGCTAGAAACATATCTTTTGTTTGAGAGAGCGTTTCCTGATTAAAATGGATTAAAGCTAGCTGCTAGCTTTAGCATCATAAGGCTACAGCTAAACATTGTTGTTGTTGGGCTTGCTAGTTTGTAACACAGCATATTGACTATAACTGTGGCTCTTTAGTTGTGCGCTTGAACATAACTTTGTACAGGAAACACCAGAGAATGACACCACAGGAGGCTTATTAGCTTGCTAGCAACATATTGTTTATGTTTGAAATAATTCTTGACAATAGCAGGCCCAGCTCATTCTTTCAAAACAGACAAATTTGATAAATGCTATTTTATCCCATAAAACATTTAGTACTGCATGGCCTGCTGTAGCTAGCTAACGGAGGATTCAGGCTAACTTTTTGACGGAGTGTTTTTGTGGAGCTTAGGATAAGATGGCTGCAGCGAGACAACCTTCATCTGGAGAAAGAATACCCTGTCAGACTGTTTGACGTGGTCGGATATAATACACAATAATTCTTTAGATTTTCTTCATGACGCAGTCGCTGCGTCCTCGAACACCGGTCGAGTCTTCAGTGAAGGTGCTAGGACGAAGACGAGGAGAAGGAGAAAGGAGAGAAGGAGAGCGGAGAAGAAGACCCCTCTGGAAGAGTGAGGAGCTGGTCGCTCAACGCCGGCTCCTCCAGGTTTATTTCAACAAACGGGTCTCTGGAGCAAACAGCTAAAGGAGAGACAGGGTAACAGGTATTACCATGACATGTATAATAATAATACATTTATATAGTACAGCTTTTTTCTAAATATTCAGACTTATTAAAACTGGTACGAACAGCAACAAAAGCAAATTGATAATAAAGCATGAATCATATCAGCCTTTGTTCCTTTTAATACTTTCAGAGTCTCAGGACTCACCACCAACTCCTTCAGAAAAATCGTGACCCGAGTCTCTGTTATTTTTCAACCAATTACATTTATTTAAAGTAAGATATCTCCCGACTGAAATGATAAAGTGAGCTTACTATCTGATCAGACATGAAGGAAACATGCTATGTTGAAGTGCTGGCTTCTCTGACAACAATGCAGCAGCCAGTATGTCCTCCTTCTAACTTTAGATTCTGGTCCTGAATGATCCGGATTTGTTTGGACCAGAGAAGGTAGGCGCTTTTAAGGCGACCCCCCTACACGGCCGTTTTGGACGCACCTCGGTTTGCCAGATATGAGAGCAGTTATCAGGTCAAACCAACAGGTCTTGCAGCGATGGAAGCGGGCAAGAGAACTGGTTCAGATATGTGGCCCACCAGTTGAACCACTGCATTCATCAGTGTGTTTGTATTTATTTATATTGCTGTGTATTGATGAACTACATTTTTTTAACCACTAGATGGCAGTATACACCACCTCTGTGAGGTCACTTTAGTCAGGGGATGTTAGTCAGGTGTTTATGGTCAAAGGAGAATAGGGTGTATTAAAAGAATAGTTCGCAGGAGTTCATTTCTTTCTCCACCAACGATGCTCTGAAGTTTATTCATTTTGAAAATGGGTGTAGTGTCAGAAAAGCACACCACTAGTAGTTCAGTTTTAAAAAAGTGTAAGACTTAATCAGTGGAGTTCCCCTTCGAGTTATGTGCTACATTTGTGTTTGCTGTTTCTATCTTTCTTACACGGGTTGTTGTTGTTGTTCTCGTTCTGCTGCTCCTCTCCCATGATGGCGTCAAAGAACAGATTGGTGCTGTTGGTCGATCGGTTGTCGGCTTGATCATCGCCCAGTGGACTACTGGTGTTACTGGTAGGCGAAGTCTCGATGCCATTTTCATCAGGCTTTTCCTCCGGAGCTGGTGAGAAGGATGGTGGTCGACCACAGGAGAAGAAAGGTAAGACGAGGTGTGATGTTGTAATCCTAAATTTATGCAATCCTAACATTTTTTAAAACCTCTTATTCATTGTTGCAAAATGTGAATCCCGTCTTCTTAAAATGGTATGCACCCTCTTTTAGTGTTTAAAAGTTTGTGGCGAACCCGTTGGACCTCGGGTTGGGCAGTACTATGCCGGGACCTGCACAGAGTCAGGATGCTAAAAAGAAAGGAGGTGTTTGACCTCTAAAGTAACTTGTTAGCAAAAGTTTTTTCAGAAAAGCCAATCAGAGCCAGGCAGAGGAGGCTATTGTTAGCCAAGAGGCTAGCGATAAAGCTACTGATCCAACACGCGTGTCATGATAGTATTTAATGACATCTGTGGAGGCACATTAGTTTAGTCTTTCAGGGGCCCAGACGTTTCTCTGTCCCTGTGAGGTAAAAACTTTCAAATGTGGTCTTAGCATTGGTTGATGTAGCTAATATCTTTGATTTAATTTTAAATCCTCCAGGTTAGCATTTTGGTCATTGCCATCTTAGATTAGAGCACCAAGAAGGGACCTTGTTGAACCAGATCTGGAACACAGGTTTGATACCAAAGAGGTCTAAAGTGACTCAAATAAGCTCAGGTGACAGCAAACTTCTAAACTTCTGTGGTTATTTTGATACGACTAATTTATCTCCGGGACTCATCTAGACGTTAATAATTTAAAGTTCTGCCACTCTTTGATTTATTTAAAGGGCCCATATTATGCTTTTTCTGGTTTTATATGCTCTTTAGTGTGTTTTCTAAGTGTCCTGTACATGTTTAGGCACATCTATTTGCAAAAATTCTAAGTCCGCGGAAACGCGGCTTCTCCTACGTCCTCCTGTTAGCTGTAGCATTAGCTGCATGTAACACTCGGTTCTAGCCCCCCTCAATAAAGATTTGTCAGTGTGACGTCTTGTCAGTGTGAGATCACTGATCTAAGCCCATTGGCTCGTTGTGGCAAGCCCAGTAGCTCATGTTGCACGCCCGTTAACTTCTGTAGCACGCCTACGATATGCTGTAGCCTGCGGTAGCACAGTAGTGCTAAGGTGCTAATGTTTTTGCTCCCCGGCCCTCGGAGCCAGAGTGGCTGAGCGACTGACCAATTACGGCAGAGCCGATAGGCCGACCAATCAGATCAGACTTGGCACACGTGGGGACTCTGAACGTGGGCACTTCAGAGCCTTAGAGAGAGAGTCAGAAGCGAGCCGGTGCATGGAGCGGCAGTACATGAAAACAGACACTTTTTTAGAACTTTAGCTATTGTGAACATACTTTAGTAGGTACATAGATTAAATATATGAATCCCAAAAAGGGCATAATATGACCTCTTTAAGAGCTCAACTTGTCTTCATCTGAATGTTTTGCTGGTTTATGTTGGCGTTTGTATTTCTGTTTACTTTATATTATTGAATATTTGACACTAAAAATGTGCTTGCTACGTCGTACCGGTCTCTCCTTTGGAAATCTTATCCTCCAGCTGAAGAGTCGTGCCATTGACAACTGGAGCAGATGAAAGGTCATCGCTGATGACTTGATCTTTAGGGTCTGATAGATCTGTTGTATAACACAGGAATCAAAGTGCATGTCAGGAAATGCTGGTATATTATTGTTTTAGTGATTGATTAAAACGTGACCGCACGTACCCAGGTCGTCCAGGTAGACCTGTCCGAAGGTGCCGGCGGGTTCATTGTGGCGGTTGGGTGGAACATGACGCTGGAGGTCGAATGAGTATGACTGTACAAATAAACAAACAAACTAATCATAAGTATGTTAACTTGAACATTCTAAATATGTTTAATTAAAGGAGCAGTATGTAACTCTGACACCTAGTGGATAAAATGGGTACTGCAGTCTAAATTGTAAACATTGTAGAGAGCTGTCTCCCCTCCTCCTCTCTAGAGTCGATGCTCACACAGGTCACCATGTGGTGGACAATGAAGCTTCAGTGTTTATCCAGCTCTGCATGGGTCTGTAAACCTTTCTGTGTTCTAACCTCTCTCCATTTTTCAAAAGCATCTCCAATATTGATCCTAGTTTGAGCACGTTTCTGCTCGTGGAGCTTATTAGAAACATGCAGAGGCTTTTTAGGTCGGGTACAATCAATTCTATCTGAACCACTTCTCTTGACCCGCTTCCATCGCTGCAACACCTGTTGACCTGATAACTGCTCTCATATCTGACAAACCGAGGGGCGTCCAAAACGGCCGTGTGGGGGGGTCGCCTTAAAAGCGCCTACCTTCTCTGGTCCAAACAAATCCAGAGCATGAGCCAGAATCTAAAGTTAGAAGGAGGACATACTGGCTGCTGCATTGTTGTCAGAGAAGCCAGCACTTCAACATAGCATGTTTCCTTAATGTCTGATCATAGTATGGTCACTTTATCATTTCACTCACTACACATCTCACTGATTGCTCCTTTGGAAACTGACAAGGAGACTGTTCTCCCAATGGGCGTAATATCCTTACCCTTGAGACTCTCCGGAGTAAGTAGAGGATGATGCACAGAACAATGATCACCAGGATGATCAAAAACAAGATCACATAAGCTGTAGAGAGAAACGAAGGGATTGTTTGACAGCAGTCAGTCAATTTAGATGCCACATTTGTTCCATCAAATCATCGCACAAATGATCAATGAAGTTACACTATGTAAATCATTACTTTGTTTAAAAGAATATTCTGTATAAACAAATCAACAAATTGCATCTACAAAATTATAGATGTAGATCATTACCCCAGGACGAACTCCCCTCCACTTCAGTTTTTTCTGAAAGAAACGGACACCAGGTTACTTGTTACGCTGATGATACTATCTTGTTTGCCACTGGCTCTATTTCAACCTCCCTTTATAACAGGTTGTGTCTGTCTCTGTAGCTTTAAATGCAAATGAGCTGTGTCTGACCACGCCCCTCTCTGGATGGTTGTGGCTTGAGCTTTCTCACATCATGCCCTTGGTGGCCTCAGAGGGCAGAACAAACACCTAGCTGTGGGAGGGGTTACTGCCCTTTGTGATTTGGAAGGAAAATCTCCAAATGGCCTGTTTGAGGACACATTTTCTGAAAAGTGGAGCAGGCAGAAGATGGAGAGGATGGACTTTTCTTATGACCTGGGTGTTTGTAGACACACTAGGGACACATAATAGTGTTAGAAAACCTTGGTAAGGTGTATTTTCCACAATATGTGACGGCTAAGGGAGTTGTGACTTTTTTGGTATCCTGATAGCTGTTTTTGCACAAACAAAATTTCATGAAATTTTAAAGGGTGAGCTGCATTTATGAACGCAAACAGCAGATTTTCCCCGCTAGACTTTACCCAGACTCTTTCCTGCCAGCCCCCTAGTGAATTTCCCCTCCCCAATCCCTCCCCCTCACCTGCCAGAGAAAAACAAGAAGAACTTGACAAAAATATATTTTTTAGAAGATGTAACGGTACATGTCAGGGTTTTTTAATTTATCAGTATTTGTGCCTGGTAGCACTTCATATGAAACATAGTGACAACATTTGCGTGTCATACAGACATAAAGTGTCTGTTGGGTGTCTTTCAGTGTGTATGTGTGTGTGTGTGGCATATTATGGCAGCCCACCAGCCCTGCTGGTGGGCTGCCATAATATGAGCATGTGATGGTTGTGGTTTGACAAACAGGAAGACAAACAGAAGCACACAACTTGCTACCGTGCCTTCTGCATCCGCGCATGTGCAGTACCTGGGTTTGGTGAGGCAGTAGAAGCCGTAGTTATTACCCCAGGATGAACATCACCATTTTCCTTTCCCCTGATCGTTGTATTGACGGGGGCTGTAGTCTGTGAGCCATTACTGCCGGGGTCTTCCTTTGTTGAATTAAGAGTCGTCTCTGAGTCACACATGGAGAAACAAGATCTGTTTTTGCCATAATATGAGCATGTGATGGTTGTGGTTTGACAAACAGGAAGACAAACAGAAGCACACAACTTGCTACCGTGCCTTCTGCATCTGCACATGTGCAGTACCTGGGTTTGGTGAAGAACTGGCTTCTGCAGTAGAAGCCGTAGTTATCACCCCAGGATGAACATCACCATTTTTCTTTCCCCGGATCGTTGTACTGACGGGGGCTGTAGTCTGTGAGCCTTTATTGCTGGTGTCCACCATTGTTGTATTAAGAGTCGTCTCTGAGTCACACATGGAGAAACAAGATCTGTTTTTGAGACCACCACTCTGCACATGACAGGACAGAGGCAGGATGTGGGCACTGTCGCCATGGTTACACACTAACACAGAAGTGATGCACAGCGGTGATTAAGGTGTTAGGCATAAATAAATAAGTACTTGCATCCAAAACCAACAAACTTTAGACGACACAATTCAACTACAAGGTGGTGAAACATTTAATCAACATTTCAGTCACAAGGCGATTTAAAGCTTCACTTAAGACAATAAAGGTTTACAAAGGACAAAAGAAACAGTCAAAGCCACACCAGGCCTTGTGGCTTCATTTTACAGTTACAGGTTGCTGTAGCAACGCAAAATATTCTCTGCTATGTGGTAATAGTAGTGTTGTAGTACTCAAAGTTGGTCTTGGTTTCGAGAACTTTCATGAAGGTCGTGTTGGACTTGAAAGCACTTTTTACTCGGTCTTGTCTCGGTCTCAGACTAAGTGAACTCCTGATTTCGGTCTCGGTCTCGATCCCTAAATGTCTCGGTCTTGACTCGGTCTCGATCCCTAAATGTCTTGGTCTTGACTCGGTCTCGATCCCTAAATGTCTCCATCTTGATCCCTAAATGTCTCGGTCTCGATCCCTAAATGTCTCGGTCTTGACTCGGTTTCGATCCCTAAATGTCTTGGTCTTGATCCCTAAATGTCTCGGTCTTGACTCAGTCTCGACCCCTAAATGTCTCGGTCTTGATCCCTAAATGTCTCAGTCTCGATCCCTAAATGTCTCGGTCTTGACTCGGTCTCGATCCCTAAATGTCTCGGTCTTGACTCGGTTTCGATCCCTAAATGTCTCGGTCTTGATCCCTAAATGTCTCGGTCTTGACTCGGTTTTGATCCCTAAAGGTCTCGGTCTTGATCCCTAAATATCTCATTCTTGACTCGGCCTCGATCCCTAAATGTCTTGGTCTTGGAACACTCTGGTCTCGGGTATGTCTTGGTCTCAGTTAGTGTTTCTTGACTACAACACCAGTGAATTCTGTAAAACGATTGTCACCTTACCTTCTTTGACATGTGAAGTTACATTATCATCACTTTGCCCTCTGGTGAGACTTGAAATGACCAGAACTGAGAGAGAGAGAGAAAGAGAGAGAGAGAGGCTAAACGTTAGACAGTATATTTTATATCATGTGTGTATGTGTGGCTGCTCACTGAAACTCTCGAATCCTGCTTAAAGTCTAATCCAGTATTACTATTGTTATAAAATGGAGTCATGGTGGCTCCATGGACTCATGCATCAGTCTAGGGGTGTGAAAGCTGCAACAGGTTTGCAAATGTGTGAAGAAGCCCACCATGTGTGTGAGAATGTGAGCTGAGACGCGATACAAAGAGAGAACAGAAAACGAAACACAAATCAGACAACTGTACGATCAGCTGGATGTTTAACATGAAGTTTAACTTCACAGTCACCAGTGTTATCATGCTGTAAAGCATCTTTACATCAGTTAGCTTGTTCACTCAACTTACCAAGGACTAACTTCTTTAGATATTTACAAGCTTGAAACTTTTCCGCTGCTATTCCTCCGACTACCATGACGGACACTTTACAAACAAATCCTCTCCTTAAAGGTGTCACCTCATGGCTGTCAAATACTGTCTCTGTGTGGGCAGGTCAACCTCCAAGCTTCTGAAGGACATGAGGGTTCATGGGCAAGTCATCAACACTCTCTCCAGTGGCTCAAGAGGAGGGATACTACCTCAGCCTCAAATCAGCAGCCGTATGTCATGGTACCAGAATTTAACCTTTGATATGATTCCAGTACAAATCAGACACTATCAATAACTGTTTTGGTACCATGGCAACAAAAACACAAGTCCCACACCCTCTCAAAACACATTATAGGCAAACACCTGCACGCTGTCTAAAAAATTTGGTAACATTTCTGAAAAATTGCCAAAGTTGCCAATTCATTCTTCTTTCACGCACCTGTCCAAGGCCGCACATTAGGGGGGGATAAAGGGGAAAAGCTTTCTGGGGCCCTGTCACATGGGGAGGGCCCATGGAGGTTAGCAAAACAGGGTCCATCCTGATTTAAAGCACATTTTATTTTAACACCTAAATACGCCTTAGAGCAACAAAAACACACTTTTTTATTTATTGTCGCTTCAGTAAAATGTCCCCTCTTTCAAATGTAAACCTCATCTTCCCAAAATGATATGAGTCTTTTTTTTGTGTAATGTTTCCAACGTCAGCTGGCCCAGAGGGCGCTAATGTTAGCCGGGAGGCTAGCGCTAACACCACTGACCGAATGTGCATACTTTTATTTAAATCATATCCTGTTAGGGCTCGTTCACCGGACCTTTTAAAGCTGTGTGTAAGGACACACTCTCTGGCTGTGTCCGAAATCACTCCCTATCCACTATATAGGGGACACGCCATTTTGTAGTGCTGTCCGAATTCTGAGTGAGCATGGTCATACCCTATATAGTCCACTCAATGTATTCCACAATGCACTTTGAAAAGCAGTGTATGAGCGATGGTCACTATGCGAGCAATATATACCATCATGCATTGCGGTTCAAAAGATTTTTACGAGCGGAGAGTGGCGTTTGACTCAGCTGCTCTCAAATGGACGAGAGTAGCGACCAGCATGAACACAGAAACTCAATAAAGTTCATATTCAGAGCGTTTTACTGAAATCTATGATCAGTTTTAATGAAGACTTTAGTGATGTTTGTCTTAATGATGATGACAGACGAGAAACCAGAGTTTGTGAGCATAAATAATTTAGTTTTGGTCCGAAAATATGTCTCATTATGTAAAATTCAATATTTTATAAGTATTTATTATTTGTAAATGTTTCGTGAAAATACACTCAGTATAATATGAGTTATCACTGAAATTCATGCTGTTATTTATTGTTGTTATTGATCCTCAGCCGGTGTTAAGCTGTTTCAGTTGCACGACAACAATGACGTCACTGTCAGCGGCCGGTGAGTGAGCGAGTAGTGTCCGAAATGTTTTTTTTATTTTGCAGAGTGAGTGCACGATATAGTCCACTGCATTAAACTCACTATGTAGTGAATATGGAGTAGGGAATGAGTGAGTGATTTCGGACACAGCCTCTGGCTTCTCACTGGTGTTGGTGACTGAATCACCTAAGTGCAGAGTCAGATGTGTTTGTGGCTGATTGGCCTTGATTAAAGCCAAGTTGGGAAGCTTCTATATACTCTGTGCTAACTCATTATCTCACCTTCAGAGGTAGTGAGAGGGTCTCTCTTTGTTGTCTCACAAACAAATAACTTTCTGTGTATTTGTGTCTATTGCTAAAATAACTTTGGGTGCTGGGTAGTTGATATACCCCAGCCTTTTGTGTTTAGTTTTAAGGCCTCCCTGGCCTCCCTTAGAAGGGTGTTTTGGCTCTATACTATTTTATTGTTCCCTACCCCCCCTCCAATCCATTGCTTGCGATTTTTGTGGCTATCCATCTCGGATAACTTTAAGACACTCCTGGTTCTGCGCCTGTGTCCCACTTTCCTGTTTTCCTGACACTGTGGTACTTTTCAATATCATCAATCATTAAAAGAACAAAGATTTCATCATCCTAAAACATGTTGTATCCAAATAATTTGAAGTAGTTTTAGACAATGTAAACACCTCAATCATTCATGTTTTGTTGTACATCTGTTATATATATGATTATACATGAATGACTAAAATCCTCACGACCTACTGACTGTCTTTCTTCTGTGGTTTAACAAATAAGATAAATATACTTTATGTCATCCCCAGAGGTCCATATCATCATTGAAAAAGCAGAAGAAATATATCAACAAAGGGATAAAATCACTACAGTTCACAATGTGTGTCTAATTAAAAAACAGCGAGTTTCCACAAACAAGAAGACGACCATGTGTCACTCAGTGTGTGAGACATTATGATGAAACATTTTCTGAATCAATTCATCAAAACGTAAAAAGACTTTTAGAGACCGTGGTAGATTAAATGATTGCTTAATGCTCCCAAAATGCATCAAATCCAAATGAAGACTTGTTTGTACTTTCATGCGGACGAGGGGAACGATCGACCGATATCTGCATTGTTTCGAGGTTTCAAAATGTGAGAAAATCTAAATTTAAAAATTATTATAAACTTATCTACATTTATTTTCTGGATTTGTGGATTTTCTTGTTCTTTTTCTTTGTGTGTTTTGTTTCCAGTGATTCCGCCTTGAATCAGGATTCCTTTTTCAATCAATACTTTGGATTTTTGGACACCAGAAGTGAGTCCTTGAACGAGCCCTTAAATCATTCAGTAGTATTCAGGTGTAAAGTAAACACTTAATCAAGGCCTTAAAGGTAAGGCTGAATCCATAGACAACTGTGGAAGCATTTAAAGGAGAGATTTATCCCAAGTGTCTCTTGAATTTATATGATCGGGAGTGAAGCGCACGAGGTTTCTGCAGCATGCTGATGCAAAAAAAAAAAAAATCTGAACTTGAACCTCGAAGGTTTGAATTCGGTGTTTGAGTTAGCGCGGGAGTCCTGATCTACTTAGAAAAGTCCTGTTTGGCCTATTTCCTTGTCAAGAAATCACGCTTTTAAGAGCATTTGTTATCACTGGAAATATGCTAAACTGAGTATAAGTACATTTGTAATGCTGAAAGAAAGTTTAAGTTGAACTCACCGAGGAAGCAGAAACGACTCCAACACTTAATCATGGTGACGATTTGTCTTTTTCTCTCTCACTCTCCAAAAATAAGCTCTTAAAAATAAAGGCTGACCATCCACAAGGCTACAGAGTTCCTTTTACTTTCTTTATTTTGTTCCTTTTTCTAAGACCCTCTTCCTCTCCCTCAACTCTCACTTCTTCTCTCGGAGTTTTCTGCTTTGTGCTCTCTCTCTCGCTCTTTGTCTCAGTATCTCTCATCCTTTCATCCGCCTCTCTTTCTCGTCTCATTATTCTTTAGCGTTCTCTCTTTCAGCGTGTCTTTTCTCCTTCCTGTTACTCACATTTTGACTCTGTCTTCTTGGTTCATTCGTTCTCTTCCAAATTCCTTTTTTTTTTAGTTCAGTGCACAATAACTTTTTGTTTAGTTCCAAATCACCTCAGTTTTTTAAATGAGTCTTAAATTGGTGTTCAACGACAAATCCTGATCGCGATTATTTGTGGAGTTGCTAAGGTTTTCTCCTAGTAGAGTTCCTGTTTAGTTTTATTGAGTGTTATAAGAAGGTATAACTGGGTATCATCTGCATATCAATCAATATTTATAGTTTTTTTTAATCGCTTTTGGTAAGTAAAAAGCTAAATTCCCTTCAGTGTCTTGGTACAAAATGTACTAAATAATTTAGCTATAGACATCCCATTTTAAGACACTAAAATAAAAAAGTGCTAACCCCATTGGCAGATATTTTTTTACCTATAACAAGCAATTATTACTTGTTGTGTAATAATAAGATGTTTATCTTGACTTATCAGTCAGAATGTTGTTAAATAAGTGCACTGTGCTATTTCTGACTTGCTTAGATTTGAGTGTTTTCAATATAATGTTGGAGCTTCCTAGAAGACTACAAACAGTTGCAACTATTATTGCAAAGCACTTACTCCTGTATTTTAATTGAAAACAAAGGCCTTAAAACATCACAATTCATTTTTTTGTAAAAAGTAACAAAAAGCCTGAAATCCTAGAGGGACGGATTTTTTACCACAGGTAAAAAACAGTGGTCCAAACATTGAACCTTGCGGTACTCCTTTAATAACTTAAAGCATGCATTTAAGATTCATGTTTCGAACAGTATGTGGTTGTAAGTTTGTGCTCATAGAACATTATAAACCCTACCCCCACCTCTATTTCTCAACATCTCAACACACCCTTGATCTCTGTCTCTCACTCCCCTCCCCCCCCTTTTTTTCCTCTCTCCCTTCACGAAACTGCTCATATATGTCGCTCTACCCTCTTAATCTCTCTCTATCATTATTCAGGAAGTGAGTCATTGACCACAGAGCTAGCTCTAGTTCGACACAGGATGCTAGCTCAGTTTTGAGTTCTAATTACAGTAACACACACAAGTAGGAACAGCTCAGTACGTTTTCTCACATTGAAAGAAAAACTCAGACAATCTTTAGATGCATCAGAGATAGGGTTGCCACCTTCCAAGCAGAAAAATAAAGGACACCCCACAGTGGGGTGCAACTCAGTAGGGGTCTGACCACCACTGGCCCAATGGTGGGACCAGTTGTGGTGTATCAGAATTTAAAACATAGTTTTAATGAAGTAATAAGAGTCATACTTAAAGTTTTAAGTGCTTATTAACACTTTTTTCTGAACTAATTTACAAAAACACAAAACTTCAGTGTAAAGGCAGATACAGTAATGTATGCTTTTGACACTGCTGTAACATAGAGGTGAGGATGACAGATTTTTAATTAAATAAACAGTACGAATTTAATAGTATTTTTTTTTGTTGTTTTCTCATGATGAATGATACTATTAATATGGTTTTGAACTATTTTCTTATTGTATTAATTAAGTGTCTACTGTCGATATATTGATGTTGTATTGATGATATCTCGCCCAGGCCAAACTGTGAATACAGATTTGGCTAAAATAAATGTCATGTTTTTGTTTTATGTGCTGAAAAATATTCACACTATCCAAACTATACTGGAATAACCTATCTATAAACATGGGAGAAAATATATTAAGTAGGCCTACAATAGTTTCCTTTACATTATATTCAGTTTCACTGACACTGTCAAGCCAGTCATTACTTTCTACTCTCATCTGTATTTCTACATCCGTTTACATTTCAATGGTGCACAGTGCGGATATGAGAGGCAGTTGCAGACATGTTTCCTTCTGACTTTCTCTCACCCAATCACTGACAAGCTCTCATTGCTCATGCCAAAAAAGAACCAAACAAATCAACGGACACTCCGAGGAGGCGGGAACTAGCCGGCTGAATGATGCTGAGTTCAAGGCATCTTGGAAATATGGGACAAACCGTGCTAATTGCTTTTTTTCTTTTTTGTTGCATTTTTTGTCTTACTTTGGATTTCAGGCCAAACAAAGAGGGTGTGAAGAGGTCAAAAAGCTCCAGCACAACACTTGTAGTATGAAGATCAACTTCATTAGCTTTATTCAAACCTACTTATTTCGGCTTGTGGCCTTCATCGGGGTCCCTGATAAAGGCAACAAACTGAGACGCACATACATACACAGTTGCTCTCCCACTATGTTGACCAGCAGCGATGCCTGAATGGACTATGGAGGTCACTGCTGCTTCATACAACTCCCCCCTTCCCCCCCCCACTGTTGTATGAATATTCAAATTCTTATTTTGTAATTAAAACTTTTTAGTATGCAAAGACACAAAAGTAACTGCAGAGTGATGGTCAAAGAAACCTTTTGAATATAAACAAGATGTTGATGATCAATTGTCTCCTTAACGCCAAATCACTTTAAATGTGTTACCGAATCTTAACTGAAGAAAAACATTACAGTTGAAGTTAACTTTTATTGATTGAACATTTTCAAGACACGAGACATTTCCAAATAAACAACAAGTTGTTCAAAGTCTTCTGAGAGAGATCTTCAAATTGTTGATACATCACAGTTTAGAGATAACAGACGACATCATCTGCATAGAGGCGTAACAAGACGATTCTTTCTTTCTAAAAACAAATTTTATGATTTTAAATCATGCTTACTATATTTATGTAACCATCTGAAAGATAAGAATGTATCAAAAAAAAACAACAAAAAGGAAATAAAAGAAAAATCAGTAAAAGGAAAGCCTTTTAAAACGCTAACATGACCAAAAGTACGAGCGCATTGAGCACATGGAGCACATGGAGCGGGTAGAGGTTGGCGGTGGAGGAGAGGAGCATGGTGCTAGTACCATTTAAGGTCATTTTCCCAGGATCTAATGGAAAAGAGGGACAACAGGTCAATAACATCATATAATATATTAAAAACGATTTACCTTGTTAAGTTAATGTCTAATTAGGAGTTAACTACTCTGTCAATGGGTCATTTTCTGGATCACCTACATCAGACTTGCTTTCGCAATCAAGCTGTCTCCACCTTCACTAAATAAAAACACAAAGGATTAACATTTTTGTGCTCGATTTGTGTTTTGTTTTTCTCGTTGACAAACTCCAGAAGAGGCTGAGGTCAAATGTAGAGTTTGTGTAATCCTTACCCAGGGGGTCTTCCTGTCCCACTGAGGTTGACTCCTGCTGACTGATGACTGCAGCTCCTTAGTAAAAAGTAAAAAAAAGTAAACATGGATTAAAAAAAAGTAAACATGGATAAGGCCTGAGTGTTGTCCCCCATTGGTTTCTGAAGGGCTGTTTTAGAAGCCTACCCGTGGCAGTTGCTATATTGGAAATGTTGATTCTAGCAGCAACAGACCTGACCTGGAGCTTAAGCCCCCTACAACAAAGCCACTTGGTGTTATATCTTGTCACTCCCCTGTTTATGCATGATTCACATCCTTCTTAAAATCAAAATGTATAGAGTTCAGCCAACAGTTACAAAGAGGGCAAGTTGGTCACAAAATGAAGAAGTGGGTGTCCTGCTGAAGAAGTGGTTTTGCTGCATGACATCACTAAGGTGAGAAAAACAGAATGACACTGCTGACAGTGTGGGAAAGTGGGTACAGTGCAAAAGCCCCAGTTTCTTTGCATTCCCACCCTTACAGTGCGTTAAAGTTCTAAGCCAGAGTGTATCAGCTCACATCACGACCCCCAAAATCAAGGCACCAAAAAATAACAACACAGAGAGAAAAAGATCGGTCCATAGAGGAAAAATAATATCAACATACCAAATTCCCTTTTTAAGATTTTACCTTCTAACCCACATTTACATGACTAGAAGTCCACAACATTATCAATGAAACTCCAGATTGTGGGCTGGAGCCAATTCCAGGTGTCATTGGGCAAGAGGTGGGGTACACCCTGGACTTTGGACACCAGTCAATCACAGGGCTGACATATAGAGAAAGACAACCAGCCACACTCACATTCACACCTACGGGCAATTTAGAGTCAGCAGTTAACCTAACGAGCATGACGACTCCACATAGAGAGGCTCCTGTCAGACGGGGATTCAAACCAGGTAACTTCTCGCTGTGAGAAAACAACGCTAACCACCTAAAACCCTCTTAGCAAATGTGATAAACTAATCTTTTTTAAAAAAACTTTTACTCACCAACAGCCAGCATCAGGAGGTAAATCTTCATGATCACCTTCCGTCTTCTTCTTCAAATGTTCGATGAAAAGCTGAGACAGTCACTGAAGCCTGCCGATGTATCTCTGACGTCTGTCAGATCTCGTCTGTGTCTTATATAGCCGACCGAAAGTTACCAAGAGAGGAACTAGTACTTCATGCATCAGCACTTCACGTTTCAGCAGATGTTTTGTTTTTACTTTTCAACCCTAAAGACTTTTGTTATTTTGGGCGTTTCCTGTGTTAAAGCAGCTGTTTGATAGTAAAGAGAGGGAAACCTTTTTATATCCTGTCTATTGCTTCATGGCTGATTCTCCCCAATGAAATGTTGTCTCCATACAATGATAGTAATGTTGATCTAAAGGAAGAGATGTCAGCCATTGAATGTCAACAACATCACATAAAACATTAAAACTATTTATTTTCATAGTCCAAGTCAAAACAAGTGGCTATAAAATGATGTAGGGACGAGTTGGTGAACAATCAAAGCTGGTAAAAAACTAACAATTCAACATGCTTTGCAGAGATCAGGAGCATTAAAGCAACACTATGGACATCATGGTTTATCCCCTGTATTAAAGAAGACTTTGAACTAATAATTAAGAGAATGAACTATTTAGGAAAATGTTTATTAACGGAATCAATCTACTATGAAGGAGACAAACTGTAGAAGTGAGCAGACGTTTGGATGTTTTTGTTTCCAATCAGGAATTTTTACTTTCAAACAATGGAATGATTGAGTTACCTGGAGTGGTTGGTTCATTTTGGAAATCCCATTCAAAGCTCTCTGCTTCTGATAGATCTAGATAAAGAAAGAGGAATTAAATAAAATATTTTTTAATTGCAATAACAAATTGAACAACATTGTTGGTTCTTTGTGCCTGTTCTCCCTTTAAACAAAAGACTGCTTATGACAAAATGATCTCATGATGAATGTTTTTTAAATTCTAAGCAAGCTATTTCCTTTTAGAGCTTCTTTTGAAAAGCTTTGTACTCCTAGAAATAAAAGCAAACATGATTTAAAAATATATATGTAGATGGTCTTCATTTTCAGTATTGTACTTAACAAAAACTTTGTAATATTCATACATAGAATGAATGGTTATCAGTGAGCAGCAGAACCATAAATGGTCCAATATATCAAAGCAGATTTATCCTAGCTTGCATTTTCTACTGCAAGCTAACTTTCTCTGACATTTAAAAGACAAGAAAGTGTTCAAGTCGTCAGAGAGAGCTCTTCAAGTTGTCACTACTTTACAGTTTTTATCACAGAGATAACAGATAACATCATCTGCATAGAGGCGCAACAAGACAATTTTCTCTGCATGCATGTCAGAGCTGCTGTGATATCACCATAATCTAATAATTAGGCAATATCAGAGAAGGGGAGTGCTGTTGTACTAAATATTAGCATGGCTGTTTGCCAAAAATATTTTGTCACATGTAGCCACACCTTTAATCATACTTTTCCTTACTGGATAGTTTGCCTTTATTTGTGTTTTGTTCTTCTCGCTGTCAAACCCCAGAGGAGACTGAGGTCATCTGTGGAGTTTGGATAATCCTTACCATAATCCTCATTATCATAGTGTTCTTCATCCCTTAACTGTCCCTCAGATGATGAAATGACTGCAGTAAAACGGGACAGAAAGTAAAATTAAGAATTAAAGAAATGCAACATCAAACTGCACAAAATTGAATTGTAACTTTTTTCTGTGAGACTGGGTTTTCTGTGAGACTGGGTCCCCCCCCCATTGCCTCACATTCACTGCGATGGATTACCTAACAGATTTTTTTATTTTTTATTTTGTGCTTAAGAATTAGAGGTTATTCATCCACAAAGGTTATGTTTTTTTTATATATATATTCTGATTGTGTTTTGTTCTTTAAAATAAGAACACAGAGAGAAAAAGGCCATAGAGGAACAGAAACTACTGAAAGTGTGATTGGAAAAAGTATCAACATACCAGATTCACTTTTTAAGATTTTAACTTCTAACCCACATTTACAAGACTAGAAGTCCACATTGATTGGGAGGAAACTGGAGTATCCGGAGAGAACCAACACATGCAAACTCTACATACAGAGGCTCCTGTCAGACGGGGGTTCAAACCAGAGACCTCCTCACTGTGAGACAACAGCGCTAACCTCTGTACCACAGTGAAGCATTCTTAGCAAACGTGATAAACTAAACTTATTTTTATATTTGACGTGGGAAAGTGGGTACAGTGCAAAAGCCCCAGTTTCTTTGCATTCCCACCCTTACAGTGCGTTAAAGTTCTAAGCCAGAGTGTATCAGCTCACATCACGACCCCCAAAATCAAGGCACCAAAAAATAACAACACAGAGAGAAAAAGATCGGTCCATAGAGGAAAAATAATATCAACATACCAAATTCCCTTTTTAAGATTTTACCTTCTAACCCACATTTACATGACTAGAAGTCCACAACATTATCAATGAAACTCCAGATTGTGGGCTGGAGCCAATTCCAGGTGTCATTGGGCAAGAGGTGGGGTACACCCTGGACTTTGGACACCAGTCAATCACAGGGCTGACATATAGAGAAAGACAACCAGCCACACTCACATTCACACCTACGGGCAATTTAGAGTCAGCAGTTAACCTAACGAGCATGACGACTCCACATAGAGAGGCTCCTGTCAGACGGGGATTCAAACCAGGTAACTTCTCGCTGTGAGAAAACAACGCTAACCACCTAAAACCCTCTTAGCAAATGTGATAAACTAATCTTTTTTAAAAAACTTTTACTCACCAACAGCCAGCATCAGGAGGTAAATCTTCATGATCACCTTCCGTCTTCTTCTTCAAATGTTCGATGAAAAGCTGAGACAGTCACTGAAGCCTGCCGATGTATCTCTGACGTCTGTCAGATCTCGTCTGTGTCTTATATAGCCGACCGAAAGTTATCAAGAGAGGAACTAGTATTTCATGCATCAGCACTTCACGTTTCAGCAGATGTTTTGTTTTTACTTTTCAACCCTAAAGACTTTTGTTATTTTGGGCGTTTCCTGTGTTAAAGCAGCTGTTTGATAGTAAAGAGAGGGAAACCTTTTTATATCCTGTCTATTGCTTCATGGCTGATTCTCCCCAATGAAATGTTGTCTCCATACAATGATAGTAATGTTGATCTAAAGGAAGAGATGTCAGCCATTGAATGTCAACAACATCACATAAAACATTAAAACTATTTATTTTCATAGTCCAAGTCAAAACAAGTGGCTATAAAATGATGTAGGGACGAGTTGGTGAACAATCAAAGCTGGTAAAAAACTAACAATTCAACATGCTTTGCAGAGATCAGGAGCATTAAAGCAACAATATGGACATCATGGTTTATCCCCTGTATTAAAGAAGACTTTGAACTAATAATTAAGAGAATGAACTATTTAGGAAAATGTTTATTAACGGAATCAATCTACTATGAAGGAGACAAACTGTAGAAGTGAGCAGACGTTTGGATGTTTTTGTTTCCAATAAGGAATTTTTACTTTCAAACAATGGAATGATTGAGTTACCTGGAGTGGTTGGTTCATTTTGGAAATCCCATTCAAAGCTCTCTGCTTCTGATAGATCTAGATAAAGAAAGAGGAATTAAATAAAATATTTTTTAATTGCAATAACAAATTGAACAACATCGTTGGTTCTTTGTGCCTGTTCTCCCTTTAAACAAAAGACTGCTTATGACAAAATGATCTCATAATGAATGTTTTTTAAATTCTAAGCAAGCTATTTCCTTTTAGAGCTTCTTTTGAAAAGGTTTTTACTCCTAGAAATAAAAGCAAACATGATTTAAAAATATATATGTAGATGGTCTTCATTTTCAGTATTGTACTTAACAAAAACTTTGTAATATTCATACATAGAATGAATGGTTATCAGTGAGCAGCAGAACCATAAATGGTCCAATATATCAAAGCAGATTTATCCTAGCTTGCATTTTCTACTGCAAGCTAACTTTCTCTGACATTTAAAAGACAAGAAATTGTTCAAGTCGTCAGAGAGAGCTCTTCAAGTTGTCACTACTTTACAGTTTTTATTACAGAGATAACAGATAACATCATCTGCATAGAGGCGCAACAAGACAATTCTCTCTGCATGCATGTCAGAGCTGCTGTGATATCACCATAATCTAATAATTAGGCAATATCAGAGAAGGGGAGTGCTGTTGTACTAAATATTAGCATGGCTGTTTGCCAAAAATATTTTGTCACATGTAGCCACACCTTTAATCATACTTTTCCTTACTGGATAGTTTGCCTTTATTTGTGTTTTGTTCTTCTCGCTGTCAAACCCCAGAGGAGACTGAGGTCATCTGTGGAGTTTGGATAATCCTTACCATAATCCTCATTATCATAGTGTTCTTCATCCCTTAACTGTCCCTCAGATGATGAAATGACTGCAGTAAAACGGGACAGAAAGTAAAATTAAGAATTAAAGAAATGCAACATCAAACTGCACAAAATTGAATTGTAACTTTTTTCTGTGAGACTGGGTTTTCTGTGAGACTGGGTCCCCCCCCCCATTGCCTCACATTCACTGCGATGGATTACCTAACAGATTTTTTCATTTTTTATTTTGTGCTTAAGAATTAGAGGTTATTCATCCACAAAGGTTATGTTTTTTTTATATATATATTCTGATTGTGTTTTGTTCTTTAAAATAAGAACACAGAGAGAAAAAGGCCATAGAGGAACAGAAACTACTGAAAGTGTGATTGGAAAAAGTATCAACATACCAGATTCACTTTTTAAGATTTTAACTTCTAACCCACATTTACAAGACTAGAAGTCCACATTGATTGGGAGGAAACTGGAGTATCCGGAGAGAACCAACACATGCAAACTCTACATACAAAGGCTCCTGTCAGACGGGGGTTCAAACCAGAGACCTCCTCACTGTGAGACAACAGCGCTAACCTTTATACCACAGTGAAACATTCTTAGCAAACGTGATAAACTAAACTTATTTTTATATTTGACTCACCAACAGCCAGCATCAGTAAATAAATCTTCATGATCACCTTCCGCCGTTGCCGTCGTCGTCTTTTTCTTCAAATGGTCGATGAAAAGCTGAGACACTCACTGAAGCCTGCTGATGTTTCTCTGACATCTGTCAGATCTCATCTGTGTCTTATATAGCCGACCAAAAGTTACAGAGAGAGGAAGTAGCTCTTCATTAATCAGCACTTCATGTTTTCAACAGATGTTTTTTTTTTAACTTTTCAACCCAAAAGATTTTAGTTATTTTGGGCGTTTCCTGTGTTAATGCAACTTTTGATATCCTGTCTATTGCGTCATGGCTGATTCTCCCCAATGAAATGTTGTTGTCTCTCAATACTTATCAGAGCTATTAGCTTTATTTATTGTTGTTTCACTTGGGGGAGATGTGGCTCGTCTCTCAACCAGAAGGTTGGGGGTTCGATCCCCAGCTCCTCCTCCTGCAGTGTCCGATGTGTCCTTGGGCAAGACACTTAAACCCAAGATGCTCCCACTGCTTAGTCGGTGCTGTGTGAATGTGTATGAATGGATTAGTTACTTCTGATGGACTTTTTCCACAGCAGCCTCTACCATCAGTGTGTGAAGGCGTAGGTGTGACCTGCAGTGTGAAAGAGCTAGATCTAGACAGAAGACTAGAAAAGCGCTATACAAGCTGAAATCCATTACCATTACTTGTAGTTGTGATCAATGGCGTCATGCTAAATGTTGCATTAATGAATTCATAAAGAAGTAAAAAAAATAAAAATAACCATACAAACAGTTCACGATCTTCAAGATTTATTATGGCCTTTTTTTCCATTCAAAAAATATATTTTCATTATTTTTTTTACAGCATAGTAGCAATACTTCATTCCAAAGAAGAGACAACAGGGTGTATAGAAGAAACGTGTCCCAGCTGTGGTTCACCAGCAGGTGGCAGTACCAGCACACAGCAAGGAGGGGGGATAGTGTTGCTGAGTACAGATTTGCTGGAGACACAATGCACAGTCCAGAATCCAACATTTGGTCATACTTAAAGGATGTTCTATCTAAAATGGGGAGCTCAAATCTACCTTCTTTTGCACTTGACCTTGAATGCAGCACAGGTAAACACCTTAAGGGCATTACAGCAAATATCTCTTGAGGTGAGAGAGGACAAAACAAAAATCACACACATCAAATTCAAAACGAGGAAATGTACTTGACAGATGTGCAAGTGAGAAAAATCCAGATCTGATTTTTGCGATAAGACAACAAGATGCATCTTCAGTCTTTGCACTAAAATCTCTGAAGGTTAAAATAAGGCGTTGTCATTTTTACTGTGTTTTTTGTTTGCAAATGAAGACACATCAGGCAATCAACAAAAAAGATACATCTGATGTAAGAGGCTTTTTTTCCCCCATTTTTAGAGGATTCAAAAACTGCCAGTCGTTTTTTTTGTGCAGAAATCGACTACGATGAGCGTTCAAAGGTAAAACCTAAACACAGGTGAAGCCCCTTTAGACGCAGGAAGGACGAAACACACAACTTAAGAAATGCTCTGACAAACAATATTAAGTTCATTTTGAAATAAACACATGAACTTAATGCTGTTGTGTGTTTTTTAAAACAGTGTTTGCACATTTTCAAATGTTGAGCCAAACGCTGGTTAAAAAAAAAAGATATTATGGCAAAAACAAAAAGACAATGGATTGTGGAAATAAAATAAAAAAACTAAATTTGGAAATCTGTATCGTCTTATTTCCTAAATCTGGATACAAATGTAATGTCTTGGTGGTCGTTCTGGTGTGCACTGAGTACCTCAAGTTTAATCTTAAGCCTAGCGTGCAATTTAGAGGAGATCTATGACACTCGCTTTGTCAGTCTGGGACTCCTGTTGAGTAGCTCAAAAACCTCTGTCAGCAAAATCACTAATTTCAGCGTCTTCCTGAAATGCTTTATTCCAGCTATTGTCTCTTTAAGACCCTCCCCACGTGCCCTCTTTCCTCTGATTGGCCGGCTCTGTTTGCAGTCGTAGGGAAATTTGAGTGAGGGCGTGTCCTTGAAATAGCTGCCGGGGTGGGCATGTCCTACAACTTTGCTCCATGCTTTGGTCTGATACGTTGGCAGAACTTGACGTTAGGTTCTGGCCAACTCTCGCCAAGATCTCGTAACGTCTCGTTCAGAGCAGCACGAACCCACGTCTGGGGATTACACAAACAACTGTGTATCTTGTGTTTAAAAAATTGTTGCAGAGGATTAGTATGGACATCAACATCGAAACACTATATATATGTATTTAAATATAAGTCAGCAGAATAGATCTCCTTTAAGCCTAGCAAGCCTTCTGTAGCATTTCAGCTTGAGGCTAACATGCTGAAATGCATAAGATGAAGTGTTGTTTGTGTTTTCAAAGGTTGACTCTATCTTTATTTTTAAAGTTAGTTTAATTAAAGTAGTTTATGGATCACTAGCATGAGGTGCTGGATTTTGAAATGGCCCGCCACAGAAATTAATCGTTATAAAACTCTGAATGGTGTCATGTTTTACACTTTAAATAGTATTGCAACAATTTCAGTAAAGAGCATACAAAACTATTTTCACCAATTTCATAAAAATATAGAAAACACTGATTTATGTTCAAAATAATCTCCTTCAATTCTTTCCGTCTATGTATAAATATCATCCATAGTCACATAGGGGAAATCGTTAAAATATTCAAGTGCTGCCAGGTATATAAACATAGTGTACATTATGTATGCTTAAAAACAATATCAACATTTATTGTTTTTATGTATTGCATTCCTGTATGTGATTTATTTAGTGCTTGTAGTTTTGGGGATTTTAGAAACTGTTGGTGGTCCCGACGCAGGTCTTGGATTCATTGGTGGGAAAACTTGGTGTTTTCCCAACATGGCTCAGGGGTATTTCACCAACAACCCTCCCATTACTCCTCTGCAGAACAGTCAGGTGCGATGCTGTGCTCCTGGGCGATGGCTGCCAGCTCTTTCAGGAACTCAGCGTAGAGGATGATTGCGAACACTCTGCTCTTGGCTTGAGGGGGAATCGGAGGGCACTGTGGCAGGACACCAAGCGGAGGCAAAGCCAGAGTGTTTCTAACAGAACCATTTGGAAGAGATGAGTCCAGGGGGATGTCGCCGTCATGGGACTGGAGGCACTCTGAAAAAAAAATTAATGTTGTACTGTTATTATTGGTGTTACAGTAAAGTCAAAGCAGCCAAAGTGCTTAATGGATCAAAGTGTCTAAAATTCCCTCCATCTATACCTCAAGGGACTTGAAGGGGCAGCGTACAAAAGGGGAGCATGTCTATGACACTATTTTCTCTGGAATCCAAAGGTAACTACGGTGCGTTGTTCCCATGGTCCTCTGTTTCTAAGTTCCTAAGTTTAAAGAGTCTTAAATTACAATGGTCAAATGTTCCCAACGTGCTTTGTTCACAGGAACCAAAGATTCCTAAGGCCTGTTCTCCAAAGATCCCATATTCCCTAGGCCTTATGTTCCCAAGGTCATAATCCAAAGGTCCTATGGTCCCATTGTCTTAAGTTGCTGAAGTCATATGTTCCTGGGGTCCTGTGTTTCAAAAGTTCAAAGTTCTCATGAACCTAAATTACAAGGTTTCTATGTTCCCAAGGCCCTATATTCATTAATCCCTGTCCCAAGGGTCCAAGTTCCCAAGGACTTAAGTTACTGGTGCGTTATATTCTAAAGGTTCCATTTGATCTTTCCTTCCTTGCTGTTAGTAGGTGTTGTACTTTACCTCTAAACTTGCTGTCCTGGTCTTTAACCAACAAGAACCTCCAGGCCTGAGTGACTAGGGCTGGATAATCTGGTCTGGCAGCCACATAGCGCTCGATCTGAGCATGTACGGACAGCAACACCTATACAGACACATATTCATGCACAGGTATACAAAAGACGCAATGCTATCCTAAGGAAGCTTAAAACAGATAAAGACTAAATTAGATTAGTATGAGGTGTTTGTGGATGTTACCTGGTACAGTGTTCGTACGTTGGGTTGGCTTTGTGGGTCTGTGGTGAGTAGGAAGGATCTAAGGAGAAGCTGCGGGTATGACGCCAGCTGTGCGAGGATGCCTGTCACCAGCAGGTTAACAGCAATAGAGTTTTCAAGAAGGTTCTCAAGGCGCGACAACAGAACACTGATGAATGGACCTGGGGAATCATGGGAAACTATATGTTAGTATGTGCGACCAAGAGAAAATACAAGTAATACACGCAATAAATGCAACTTTTTCTACTTTTTGCCTTAAGATGTTACAGAACAACTGGTGTGAATCTGACCAAATATGAATAGGTTCTAGCTGAAGTTTGGAGTTCCTCAGGGTTCAATACTGGGACCACTTGTATTCTCTTTCTACATGCTCCATCTCAGCCACATTATTCAAAGACATTTCACCGCTATGCTGATGAGACACAGCTGTACCTCTTGGTGCCAATCCAAAACCTCTCAAATCCCACTTGTGTCCCACCTGTTTTTGGACAAAAGCTAGCTCTTTGTAAGCAAAACCTGGCACATTATGGTGCCCTTGTGACTTCATAATCATTAGAGACTTCTTGTTATCATGTATAATCTGTGATTCTATACACCTGCTAGTAGTACAATTAAACAGATCCACATTTAACATTTCAGGACTGTATTTTCTGCTCAAGAAATCTTCTTCTCTAACTTCACTTTTACATTACATTGTAATTGAATACACAGACCTGTAAAAGGAACTTCATGGCCCCTGTTGTCATCCTTACAGCTGCTACCACTCTCCTCTCCTTCCTCTTGCTCCACCTCCTCCTCCTCCATCTCTGCCTCTTCTACTTCCTTATCTCTGCTGTTCCACAAAGAGCTCAGAGCGTCACCAGGTCCATCCTCCTCTTCGAGTTTTTGCCTCAGCGCTCTGACCCGCCTCCTGAACGAACCAATGTCGTCAGAGATGTTGTCACATTCTGGCTCGACCCCCAAAGAGAGCATGAACTCATAGTATTGGGTGAGGAAGTCGTTGTTATTGTTGATTTTGTTAACAGGCAGACTTAAAGATTTGGCATCAGCCGCAGGTACCAATGGGTCATGTTGCTCAAATTCTGAATGCCCATTAGGTAAAGCATTAGTTAATGAATATGGCCTTGAATGTTGTGTGTTGTGTGGTGTGTCCTGGTGGTTCATTGCTTGCATGTGATTGGTAGAAGACGTGAAATCATTCAGGTTGCATTTCAGCTTAAATGGTTTGCCATCCTCATCATCGTCACAGTCACCGATGATGTGATACTTAGCATCAAAACCATTTGTGTAAAACTGACACCCAATTGGCTCTTCCAGCTCATCTATCCTCTTCATGTCATCTTCTCTTTCCTCCTTCCTTCTCCCCATCTCCTTGCCACTGTCCTCACTCCGCCTTCTTCCCTCCTGCCCTCCATCCTCAATCCTCCTTTCCTCTTTCCCGCCATCCTCACTTCTTCTCCTGGTTGACATAATACTGTTAACTGTTTCCATTACTGTCCTCCCTGTTGTTGTTAGCATTGTTGCTACTTTTGTTGTTGGTTCCGCTGTTGGCGCTTGTTGGACATTCGGGATGTTTCCACGTGCCCGTCGATTTGCTGCCATGATTCGCTCCAAAATGGCTGCCTTTGTATCATTCTTAGCAACAAGGTCATAGACCAGAACGTCATCCTGAAACTCGGACTCCTCCACATACGAGCCGTGCACCAGCCTTGTTGCAGTGCGTCGCATTTCCTGGAGGTGTCCAGGAGGTGAAGGTGTGGCAGTGCATCGGTCCACCTCCATGGTCATGCTGCCGTTTGTAGTTGAGTTAATCACAGCTGGTAATGAAGGATCCTCATCGGCAAAAATGTCATCCCACTCCAGTTCTAGGGCCGAGTTGGCTCTTCCGACGTGGTTGCTTGAGGAGACGGTATCTGAAGAGGACAAGGTGGGGGAGAGGGCCAAAGCCTGAGGAGTTATTTCCAAAGAGCAAATGGAGTCGCTCTTTACTCGCTGTGCAATCTCGTCCTCGCTGTCTTTGTCGTTCCCTGGTGTGTTGGATCGGTATTGTTGAGGTAGAGGGTTTATTCCATCGTATGGAGCTGACCAGAGCTGACACGCCCTGAAAGAAGATAAAACTCTGTAGAACTTAACCTAATTTGATCAAATGAAAACATTTCTCAATGCCTGACAAAACGAAACCTCCAGATCACCCGAGTGTGAAAAATCAACTTTTTCGTCTTAGGAATCCAGAATGTTTC